CCTTCAAGGTAAACAAGGAATAATAAGGAAATGAGTCATACCCAGTTCCAAATAGAAAAAATAATTTTTAGATCAGCATAACTTATAAAATGCCAAAAAATCCCTTCAATAAAAAGTGCAGTGTTGTTATTATTAAATGGAGACTTACGAGAGTACAAATGGTGCTTTTTTTGAATGACAAACAGTAGTGCCGAGCAATTTAAACTGAAAAAAATGTCGCATTCTTGGTGACAACCAACAACTCAACAGCACCCAACTAGTAATTTAGTTCAAAAATTTATACGACACAAATTTTGTACCACTTTGCCACCGACAACAGCCTATAAGCATTTCCTTTTTCTGCGTCGCGCAGATTTACTAAAGACCAAGTTGAGAGAAAAAAAAAAAATCAACGGAATAAAGGGAACGTCAAAAACTTGAATACAATGTCGGAAGACTCATAGGCAGACGAATGAAGTCCGTTTTACTTTAAATTGCAATTCTACGACAGTAAAAACTAGGACAGTTCCTAACTGGAATCGATTAGCTGCTTCTTCTGTTTCCAGTTGTTTTGAAAATAAAAACAGTATGTATTGCAATCAGTTCAAACGATCTTACCTCTACTACACCAAACATGTTGACCAGCAATCGAATCGAATGTGCCAAACTGAAAGACCAGTTCCGTTTCTGCCACCGTCGCACTTCTGTACAGCACTTATCAACTCTATCAGCCTTTACAATCAACAACACCGCTTGTTTGAGTTGTTTGCGTCTGTTATATCCCCACTTTTTGATTCTCCTCCAAGACAGAACATTCTTGCTCATTATGCCAAATGACGAACCCCGCACGCAGCAATTACTGCACTCGACAAACATTCACATTCAACTGCTGCAGCTAATTTTGTCAAGCTTGACAGTAAACATCAATATTGAAGAAAACTTTGAACGCTGAACCATCCACCTTGTAAAATTGCTACTTGGCCAATTAAAATCACCACTAAAAGCTAGTGGAATTTGAATTACCAACATGTAATTAAATTTATTTGTAAAAAACAACTCTAAAACAGCTTTAAAATTCCAGAGTACCTGGTTTATCTAGGTCAATTATTCAATAGATGAAAGACCAACTCTTCCCGCATAAATTTTTTTCAAGCCATTCTAGTATATATCATGAAAATGGCCTTGAGAAACAACAGAAGAAAGAGAGAAACAAATTCCTAACTGAACAGTGATCAAAAAAGAACAGCAGATAGAAAGAGTATCTGGCACATCATACAGCTGCATCACATAAATGATCTTACACAAGAATTCGCGTTAAAAACGCAGTAACAAAAATGACCCAAACATCCAATACAAAGGCAATTTGTTAAAAAAAAAGATCTTGACAACCGAAACATGAAAAAATGCAAAAATTCATAAAACAATTCCTAAACTCTGAGTAATGTGAATAAAAACTGTTCATCTCCTACACTCCAAAAAAAAGTCTGTTTTATAACTCGTTCCGATAATGTGCCTATAAAGGAAAATGTATACACAAACAGTAACCATAAATTACAGCAACAGCAGTAGTATAAGACCCGAAAAGCGCACCAAAGATTGTACTTCATCATTAACAAAAATATTTCAACAATAATAACTTAGGAATTTTTCAACTCGTCCAACTGAGCTATCTCGCATATAACATACTTGCTACAGAATAAACTACTAAGGTAAAAGAGGCTATTGTAAAGGTAAAAAAAGAAATGTGAAAAAGCAAAAGTAAGGTTCTGTCGCCAAAATCAAATTTAATCTGAAATTTAGCCAAATGCCTAAAACAATCAGAGAGTAATATGACAATAATTAAAAAGCAGCAAAAAATTGAAGGAAAGTACGAAAACAAACAAGTATTTACATATCACGACCTTATACACAAATAACAACAGAACACGAGCACCTCCAAAATACATCAGGATGAACAAAGCCTACAAGATTCCATTAGTGTAATACTGGAAGCTGTCATACAGTCGCGTAGTTAGAGAGTCGCGGCTCTGCTCCACCAAAGTTTCGACCAAAGCCTGAAGCTGTTCCTCAGTACAGCTCATATGGAATCGATCTCTCAATGCTCGGATAGCACCAGGCCCTCCACGGAAACAAGGCAACTGTGATCCTGTAATTTTATCTCCGGTTAGATCCCAAACAACCCTTAAAAATATCAAGTTATAAACAGAAATAACTTTCCCAAAAACTATGGTACAATAGAAGGTAAGAAGACAGCATACTGTAAACCAAGGAAAGGAATTAAAGAGATGAAGTTTCATAAGTTCAGTTTTTGCTAGAAACCAAGAAATACATATCTTCTCAATGTAAATGAATCTCTCTAAAAAAATTTCATTTTTTTATATCCACTGCAGAACTTGCTTCTCATAAGAACTAGCTTGAAGTAAATGAAAAATATTTAGATAAGACCACTTTTTAATAAATTACTATGAGAAGAACATGTCAACAAATGATGTATTTGCGCAATTCTGGTAAATGGTGCTGTCAAGAGCATACTAAAACCCTAGTTCCCAGAAAAAAGACATAAACCAATTAGACTTGGAAGCAAAACTCAAGAACAAGACCTGATAATACCACAGTCGGTAACTGAGAAAATTACCCCTCAAAAGAAAAAACCTAATACGATTCAAATAACACCTTTTTCTGTGTAGTAAAATGATTCTTAAACTAATTATAACTTATTTTTAAAAAAAAGCTTATTACTCATTAGAATTTTAGTGCATACAGTGATTAAAGGCGAAATTGAATTCAAAACTCCCTTTCTAAAATGCAATAAACCCTGGGTTGCGTAAATCAAAAAAGACTTTTCCTCCTTTTCTTTATAACAATAGTCGATGTTCGAAAGCACAGCCAGTCTAAGCAAAAAATGACAACCCAAATTCTCACTTCAAACAGTTTTTCTCAAACCCTCTTGTAAGTGAATTTTTATTGAAGCTTTTTTCTTGCGATGCAAGAATGATGAATTAAAAAAAATTTTCAATTACTGCAACAGTTTCGCCCGTCAGAGTTAAAACAAAATCATTGGGTAGCTTTTAACCAAACAGCTTTCTATTTATAAAAATCAGCTCCCAGAAAACTACAGAGACCAGTAGGCAATTCTGACTTTTAATATGACTCTATAGTACTGCGTCCTCAACAGGCAACTAAAGAAGATTCTTTTGATATAGTAATTAAACTTAGCTATACAAAAAAAAATGCTGCTTTACCAAACTACTTTTTCACTGCCTGAAAAACCTAGATTAAAAACCTACTGAACACCCTTCCTTAGCACATATTAAACTTCAATTCTGAAGAAAATGTGCCACAATTAAACAATTGCCTAAGCATTCAAAAACCTTTTAAAAGTCCCACCAACTTCTGTAGTTATAGGTTTGAAAAACAAAATTATAAATATTTGAGCTGTTAAAAAAATTCCGTTTTTTCTTTTTAAAATTATCCACTTGAACTAGTAGTGGATTCTAAACGAACATACATTACTTTAATAACTGCTGACAACAGAACTCACTCAAGATTAAAAATCTAATAATAAACTCAAAATAATAAAGTAAAAAGTTTTCACAAAATTATTTTCAGAAAACTCATGCTTACATTGCTTCTAATTCTTGAGTTCTGGAGGAGAAAAGTAAAAAAAATCTGCAAATATAAAAGCTATAATTTAGTTCTTTTCTTTCCCCACCCTGAAGGGCATTTAATTTGCGCTGTGGTTTCTAAGCTTTGAAACTTCCGGTATTTTACATATTAATCTAATGAAATTAATAAAATGAAAAAACCTACCAATACTCATTATTTCAATAATATTTATAATTCGATCCATGTGTTTCCGTGCAGCAACTAATCCTTGAAGCAAAAGTATTTTATAATATTTAAACATGTCGCTTCCAACCCCTCCCATTACATCAATAACTTCTTGTGTTAATTTAAAAGGTGAAGATTCAAATCCGAGATTTTTTGGGGAAGTTGAAAGGAAAAATCCAAAATCTATATGTATCAAATGGCCATCTCCATCCAACAAAATATTTCCGTTATGCCTGAAAAATAGCTAATGCAAGTAATAAAAACACAAAAGCAGATAGTTCAAAAACTTTTGAAAAATTCAGAAAGCGATAGAAAGACTGAAAAGAAAACAATAGTTTGGAATAATACTCTACGTACTAGCCTACCTATCCTTGACTTGGAGAAAATAACATGCCAAGCTGTAACCGGCACAACTTTGGACGAAATTATGCTGAGCATATAAAAATGCTTCAGATTGAGGTGGTCCATATGTATTTAAAAAATGAGCCAAAAGCATGGAAGGGCTTGGTCTTCTTTGCCTCTCATCCAACAAACTGAGGCACAAATTCTTTTTAATCTAAACATTAGAAAAACCAAAGAAGAAATAAATTATAAGAACTGAAGTACAAAATTTCCAACTTATGAAAAAGAATCCCCTTAAAACTGGCAACTGAAAAAATTGATAAGCAGCTTTATGCATTATTAACCTTGAGTTAACCAAGTGCCTAGTGTAATTACCTCCAACTCATCCCACTAAACCTGTTAATTACCAAAGACCAAAATGTAATTGAACAAAGACAAAAGGGTAAAAATACACCAAGATGGAATTGTCTTTGCAGAAGCGGTGATAAATTTCAAATACGCAATGGAGAAAAAGCGAAAACGACAAAAACCTACTTGGTGAAGCGAACAAGCGTTAACAATTGGCTCGATCATCCCCGACGATCTTGAACAGACAACAATTTTTGACGGTCGCAGATACAAAGGAACTCTTTCTTCATCCCAGATATTCTATATACAATGCTCTTACAAAACCCTTCATGTAAAAAAATAGCCAAACAGAATTTTAGTGTTTGCGCACAGGAGTCAAACACTTACTTTTAAAGCAGTAAGCAACTGGTAAGCAAGAAGTTCCTGCCGAAGATCGTCACCAGTTTTTATAATAACTGGTAACAGCTTCCAACGTGAACTGTTTCCGTAAGGAGACTCTTCTCGAATTCTTGCTACCTTTTCTTCCCACGGCTCACTCATAGTGAAAGCTGACGGATCATCAGGAGTGTTTTTTAGCTGTGATTAATAGATGCGTTTAGTGCGTGTGACCACAACGTAGAAATTTAAAAAAAAAAAA